ATGAATATCGTATAAAAGCCAAACGGCTGCAGTACAACGAGATTCATCCATCCTTATCTGGTGAGATCGACCAACGAATCTCTTCTTCATGCACTTTCATACGAAATAAAAGTCCCCCAAACAAACTTTATATGAACCGAAATTGCTTAGGAAGTTGCTTTGCTGATCAATGCGCCTTTATTTATAAATAGTTAGTAGATATCTTAAAGATTTTAAAATAGTAGTTGGGAATCAGCAAATAATAGAAATAGAATTTCTTCTACTTAATAAATGCTAATTTGACAGAATTGTGATGTATAAACGTAACGATTATAGTGTCGTGGTTGCTCAGAAAAAGTTTAGTCTATGTTGGGTGAAATTTGCTGACAAATGTATTGGTTTTATTGCCATTAGTTTAAACGAGCGAAAAGCTCTTCACATTATTTTCGCATGCAAACTGAGCTCTTTAAAAGTGAAAAAGGGGCGAAAGAAGAGCAAGCCTTGATGTTGTTCGTGTCTAAATGCATAAAATAATTCATCAAACATTTCTAAATTTTCTTAATAAATACCAGTGTTTTCCTGTCTCTCTGATTGTGAGTAGCTACGAGCACGTTGCGCAGATTCAGGGTAGGGGCCAGCATCAGAAGCTTTCGTAGAAACTGGCCAATTCGCCTCAGTAGGGTGACGTCGAGAGGCAGCTTGTGGCCGAGGAAGGCTTTGGGTAGTAAGGCCCACGTGAGGCTGTCGATGAGCCGACTGCCCAGAACTGTCTTGTCTCTGTATAAGATTCGGGTGTTGATGTCGCTGTTGGTGTTGAGGCCGGGAGGTCTGCGAAATCGAACCTGGCGATTCAGACATCATTTGGCTACCACTCAGTGAAGGGGATCTCGGCTGAGGATGCGGTCTTTCCAGAGCTGGCGTCGATATTGCTATGTCAGGTCGGAATGTGGCTGATGCTTCAGTTTTGTCAACGTTGCTAGCCGACTCCCTAGAGTCCCCAAGTGGCTGCCTCATTCGAAGTTCTTGACCAGAAGACCGGCTGCTACGCAGGTGTCGCGGAGGAGGGAGCCCTGGGCCCACCGCTAACAGAGATTCAGATTGAGATCCGGCCGGCTCATAAGTATTCCCGTCAGGTGTTAAGACGTTGAGATTCGGTCGGGCTGACAGTGAATCCCGCATGCGGCGCGGTTGACTGGGTACCGAAACGTAAGTCTCGACAGGGTCTATAACAGATGGGGGAGAAATAGATGGTTTTAAAAGTGTATCTTGATTGATGCTGGATTCGGGTGGAGGGATGCCATTTTTCGAATATCGGCGGCCAGACAATTGGGGGTGTTCAAGTTCGGTCTCGAGCTTGCTTATTAACGCGACGACATGCCCCCTGGTGGGTACCAGGGTTGGTACCAAGGGAGATTGGGCAGCGAGAACAGGACTACCTGGATGGCATGGATCTTGGCCTAGAATAGGTTCTCTTTGCTCGTCCAGCATGTCTTCTGAATCAGGCGCTAGACCTGATTCTTCAGAACGCCTAAATGGAGGAGGCGGCGAAGCGATAGATGACACACCAGAGAAGTTTGGATCAGCTGTTTCGTGGCGCTTTCGATAACGGACACCAGGGATAGCCGTTTTAGAGACAGGGATAATCAGAGAGCTGTCGGCGTCATCTCGCTCCGTCTTCTGTTTATTCTTAACTTCCTGGTTTATTTCTTCCATTCCCTCTTTTCTTCCTTGATCCACATATAGAAGTTGCTTGGTAAGGCGGTTACTCGAATCCGACCGTTGAGAATATCGAGGCGGATTGGTCTCCTTTTCGGAATATACCTCCACCAGGCTTATAAAACCATTTTCGTCTTCGAGATCATAGGCGGAATCGTAGCGCAGGTTGGCGGCATCATCATATGCAACAAGGACTTGCTGTAAAAGAGTATATAGAATGGAGCAGGCTTAATCGACGAAAATAGGTAGTAAATTTATCATTTCATTTGAATAAGTATATTTCCTATTTCAAAATGTACAGAAGTTTGCTATATTGCATGCTTTATGTAGACATAAGCTTATACAAACATATGAGTATGCTCAAGAGTAAAATATCCTAGTAAATAAGAAAAGCATGAACAGTATGTACTTAATTCTCTATAATTGGAGTAACAAAGGCAACGATTACATATATTACGCAAACTTTGCAGATTTGTGAAAATGTGAGAGTCATGAAGGATAATAGAATGCATATATTATGCTAGCCATTTAAGTGGATTTAAGGCTAGGTTAAGGCTATTAAAGTATTTTTAAATAATAAATAGGGTATATGAAGTATGTGTAGAAACGGTATTAACAGTGTTGATACTGGCAAATAATCTCAGGGACTATGATCGTCAGCCCAGCTATTAGCTTGCAATCATGATGTAAAATCAATTTGCTATAGACCCGATATTAATTTTTTTTATCATCTAGTTAAAATGTCAACAAGTATCAAACACTTGCCGAAATATACACTAGATACAGTAGATGGACAAAAATAATGTAGATAGATGTACAGTACCTCCGTAGAATGAAGCTTGTCTCCAGACCCAAAGGATGTAAAAAAATATATTTCTTAGTC